CTGCCTCTACTGCGTGGTCGGACTCCTTGGTGTGTGGTTTTCTTCTTCCACCCTGCGGAAGACACTGTTCTTATCTTTGTGCCCCCCCCCCCCCCCCCCCCGTGTAGATTCCTGGAGATAGCCACAGATATCTTCGGCGATGCTTTCACAACAAGGCCCAGCTGCCACGTACATGTTCTACCAGCATCGGCATAACAAGACCCGGTTGGTAGATGAATTGGGATGTGGACTGCTTGTTATCTAGGGCTGTGTCAGTGAAGTGCAAGAGCAGAAGAGGCTGATAATTGTCCTTTGGGAGTTCCCTTCTGAATAAGGAGGAATAGATAGCTAGATAGCTAGATATAACGCATTCAGGGCTGCCAGTTCACTGAAATGCCCTACTGAATCTTTAAAATTTGATTTAATTTCGTCACACACTGGATGCACAGCAGCGAGAATGACACTGCTATATAACCTGAAGGGTAGAGCAGAAATATTCAGCACTCTTAGACATGGCGCTTAATGGTGTCTGATGTTCACACTTAGCACTTGAGTCTGGCTTCTTGTATCGAAATCTCTTGAGGCACTGGGGCTTATGGCTTCGGAGAAACGAGACTGTGCTCCCGTTTTCTACTTATCCTCCTTTTGTGCCTCGTCTCAGCCAATGCGCTGTGCAGACATCCTGGAGAGTCCTTTGTGTCTCCACGACTTGAAGCGGTGACTTCGATTTTATGGGCCTGTTCCCAGAGCTTTAATAACATTAGAGTAAACATCACCTGCTAGCTGCATGAGATATTGTGAAATAGTTATATCCGCCAGCCAAGTGTTCTGGAAGCTTCCTCAGGGTGGCTGCACGGAATGGTTATGGGTGATGCCCAGCTGTCCCAGTTCCTGTGTACTCCTAAGAAATATTATGGAACCTGGACACATGAAGCAAGCTCTGGAATCCCTGGTTAACACTTTAGGAAGTTAACCCAGTGAGGCCCTCAGTCAAAAGCCAGGATTGAAGGAGCCAAATATTTCGGACTTGGAAAGGCCGGGACTTTTTTCCTTGTGGTAGCAAGCCACTTTTCAAACCCTGCTTAGTCTTAAGGACTCCTTGCCACAAAGCATGAGAGAAGGACCACCAGTGAAGTAGCCCAGAACCAGAGCCCCCCCTTGTTTCTGTCAAAGACTAGGGCTTTTTAAGAAATTAGCTGGCGCTTGTCCCTACTTCTCCCTGGACTAGTTGGCCAAATGCTCCATCATCCCCTTACTATGATGCCATCTTTATGCTTCTTTCAGCCTGGACCAATGCCAGGTCCAGGACATGGCAGGTAGCTGATCATTTTCCCCCTCAGCTCAATTTCCACGTCCAAAAAACAAGCACAGGGATGAAAGCTAATCCCCCCTAGCTGGGTGGTTTGGGGAGTCCAGGGAAGAAGCTTGTGATGGCAAAGGGGCCTTTGGGGCTCGAGGAAGGGGATTGGCCACTTTGATGTTGAAAATGACAAGTCCTAGAAAAATGCCAGTGATTCTGGGCATTATGCAGATTCGTGACCATGGATATTCAGTTCTACAAACCCTTTTTGCGGGTAACAAATGCTCATTTCTCAAGGAGAAACTATGCAGTGCTTTTGTAATGCTAAATGATGGAATTCTTCTGAGTCATTTCCTATTTAAAATGAAGCACACAATTAAGGGTCCAGTAAGCTTACATTAGCTCCTTCCTAATCGTGTTTATGAAATCAAGACCAAGCCCTGGGAAATTCTGCTCTCTCTGCCAACCTTCTCAATTCTCTGGACTGAATTGTCCATTCCCAACTTAAACACAATTAAACAAACTAATCTGCATTGACATTAAACAGAGATTAAACCCCTGTTTAAATTGGCGTTCCACATCCTGATTACAGGGAAACCAGGTTAGCATCAACTAGGATTAAGGCCACTGCACCATTTCCCCAAACCCTGCCTGAGGTGAGAGGAGGAGGATTCTCTCCAAGAAAGTCCATCTCTGCTGGATCTCGATTTCCTAATCCCAGTGAAGAGGTCGCTCTAACATACGACGAACCCTCAGCAATAAAATTTGCTTCAGATTTGCTTTCCTGACATTACCATGGCCCTACCATTGAACTCTCATGGGAAATTAAATATGGGAAAAGGATGGTGTCTCCTCCCGACGCATTCCCAGTAAGCACCAGCCATAGCGAACATGGCACTTTCGTACGTGTGCTAGACACAGGGGCTGGCAGGGGGAATGACAAACTACCCCGCCTCGCCACCTTCTGAGGGCAAACCCCCAAGTCAGGATGGAAGTTGGCAATTTCAGCTGAACCGTGGGTCGCATTCTTTCCAGATCGCACTTATATCGTCCGCCCTCCTGAGGACAGCACTGTTATTAAGGGAACAACAGCGATGCTGCGGTGTGAAGCTGCTCATGACCCAAGAATTTCAATCAGGTTAGTCGTGTCTGCAGTTGCTTGTGTGGTTTATTTGAACTCAATTTTACAAGCCACCAGCTTAGGGGTGAGGTGCGCGCCTTCCGTGCGCTAGAATCTGCACTGGTATCCCCAGCGACAGTGTCCTAAGGTTGTAGGTTGCGCCATTAATCATGCCAAGTCCTCTTTATTTTTCCACTTCAACCTTATATATTATTTACAATGAGCTGCGTTCCACTTCATGACTTCAATACAACTTCCCATGATTTACTGTCAAGGTTAATACAATATCAATAAAAGTGACTTGTCAAAAGCTGATACTTAATGAGAATAAAACACGAAGCAATTTAAGGGGATTGTAGGAGCAGTTATGGAGAGGGTCCTGAACATTCCTGGAAGTGTCATTTCTGCTCCTGAAAAAAATAACAAATTCAACCCTGAAGAATGGAAAGGACAACATTCCTTTAGATTGTCATGCTCTACACCTGGGAATTAGAGGAATCCCTCCTCTTTTTCTTTGACAAGAGGAACGTGTACATAAATGAAAACTAGCGCAGATGGAAAAGAGAACACCCAGCAAGAGGTGCCACAAGTTCCCTTTAGAAAATGTTAAACAATGTCATTTGTGTAAAGGAGAAAGGAAATGCATCTCAACTTGCATAAAGAGAACGGCATCTTAGAAGATGTTTTTCTTGTAAGTGCCAGTAGGTTTATGAATATGAGTTCCGCTACAGATGCTATTAAGTAGTTCTGTTCTAGAAATCATAACATGGAAATCACTTTCAGGGAAAAACATGGAATGGATCCTAAATAAAATACTGGGACTATTTAATGCTAAGTATAATTAGCATTTATGCAGTGTACTTCAGGTGTTGGAAATGTTTCACGTACTCTGCCTTCATAATCCTTGAAACAGCTGTGTAAGTTGGCCCAAGATATATTCCCATAACCACAGCAAACGCACTGCTTGCTCCTTGCAATTTATACTTGATTCATTGCCCTTTGTAGTAAATATTTCCCACCCTCCCTGGGTCTTGAAATGGCACCTTTAATACATCTTTCAGGGGATTGGGGCCAATATATGCTGGATTGAGGGTTAGGAAGGTACATAGGGAGGAAATGGGATATACTGTTGATCATCAGAGGGACACAGAAGGAAGATCTGTGGTGTGTGTGTGTTGGTACTGTACAAAAAGCTGTTCTTTTCTGTCTCTGGTGAACTACATCCTCAAGAAATGGAATAAACATTTGGGTTCCCGAACCAGGTCTGGCAGTTTTGGAAACTGAGGCCCAGGCTGCTCAGAAGGCTTTTGGGGAGCCAAACACAGACAGTGTTTATCCGTCTAAGAAAGTCTTCCCCAGCCTGGTGCCCTGCAGCTGTTTTGTACAGGGAAAGCTTGCGGGGTGGGGAAGTCCAGTCTAGGGCGTGTGCTAAGAGCCACAACAACACAGCTGAGGAGGGACGTGTCCTTGTCCCTTGCCTTTGTGGAACTCAGCAAGCAAGCAGAACACCAGCGTGGCTCAGGCTTGCAATCCAGCCTTCAAACCTGCTTTGTTAAAAAAAATCAATGGGAAATTTCCCATTGATTCTAAGGAATAGGACTGTACCCTTCATCTTGAACTATTGCACATTTTATTAGTCTTGCAGCCCTGTCAGACATTCACTGCATCCAAGGAGCCCTTGGAAGACTGCTAGCCAGCATCACTGTTGTACCTAATTATTTAGCTCTGTTTTTACCATGTAATTTCAACGCTTGATATTTCATCATTTTTAATGAAACAGACAGCTGAGTTTAACAGTCTGAAATACTGTGACAATCAGGTATGTTTGGAAGAAGGACAACGTTATCATAAATCCATCTAGCAGCTCCCGAATCGCCATTGAGAAAGATGGCACCCTTATAATTAGCCAGACGTGGTCCGGTGACATCGGGGACTACACGTGCGAAGTGACTTCCTTTGGAGGAAACGACTCCAGAGTGGCTCGGATGGAAGTCATGTGAGTATTTCAGTGGCAGGCAGCTTTGTGTAATACTGTTCACTGTTGATATTTGCCTGTTATTTTGCATCTCTTTCTAAAAAAACAATCCCCTCTTTTGTTTGTTGTGAGAAACACAGTCAGTTATTTATTTTCTACATGTACTATATCCTCTTTTTTCTTCCACGAACCCCAAAGTGTGAATACCTCTCCCCTGGTTTATTCTTACAGCAACTCTGCCAGGCAGATGAAGCTGAGCTCAAAGTCGTGCCATAGGATTCACGGCCAAGGGGAGGCTTTCATTCAGGCACCCCCAGTCCCGCTCTGGCACTCCAACCATGTCACAACTTGAGTTCTCTGACTGGCAATAATATATTTTTCTCCAGTGGCGTTTAAGCTCAGATTAGATTCGTCCCCTTTAAAACCACTCCTCGGGGGTTGTTCTCCCCATGCAGGCAGAGGCGGTGCCTGATCTGCCGCCACCCTCTTCACTCCAACTTCCCCTGCTGATGGGGAAGGTCAACCGTGAGCCTGCCTGCTGCTGAACGCCATTATAGTGGCCCCGGGAACCCTGGGTCCCTTCTCGGGCTTCCCAGTGCCACATGCGACCAATCTTTCCAGTGTTTCCCAGCCGGCCTGTGGGTGCCTCTCCATCCACCCTTGGCAACTGGAATTTGCAGCGCCCGGAGAAAGACAGTGAGTGATGTGCTCTCCATGCTGCCGCTTCACAGAAGAGGCACTTACCTGGGTGGCAGTGGCGGAGAGGCGGGCCCAGTTCCACCCTTGGCTCCATCACACACGCCATGCACGGATCGGCACACGCCATAGCTGGGTTCTCACCATCTCCCTCCTCTCCACCTTCTGAGTGGGAAGAGCCCCACGAATCAAGCTGTCATGCATTAGCCACCCCCCCCGGAGTCTGTCCAGGGTTTGGGACCTTCCGTGGGGGCCCTTCCCTTGCTTTGGCTGCCCTCAGAGGGTGGCTCAGCTGGTCAGCCGGAGGGGTCCCAGCCTCTGAATCACCCGGCCGAGGGAGGGAAGCCGCTTGGCTCCCTCGTTTCCGTTCAAGCAGGCCTCGGCCATGCAAGGTGTCTGCTGCTGGAGCTGCCAGGCTGGAACTTGCTATTTATTTGAATTGTGCTTTCGATCTAGCTGATTTGTGTTGTTTCATTCATGGGCCTGATCATTGTTAGCCACCTTGTTGCCCCTTTCCTCTTTTCTTCACTATTTTTCCCTTTTGCGGAAAGGTAGGAGTATAAAGTCAAATAACGCTTTGGCACACGTTCCTCCCTCAGCGTAGGGACTGAGTTGCCTCTATCCTTGCAGCGTGTGAATCCATCTCCCACTGCTGCCATTAATTTTTAACTTGGTTGACTTATGATTTTGACGCACTGTCTTCCCATATTAATCTTCTTCCTTCCTTCCTTCCTTCCTTCCTTCCTTCCTTCCTTCCTTCCTTTCAAGTTGCCCTCAGAATATGATATTCAGCATCACGTACTGTGAGTTTTGGAGGCATGGTTTGCCTCTCTCCCTCTCCGCATTTCGTTTAATGGTCAGTTAAGGGCACAGGCCCATCCACTTGCAGGCATCCAGCAAAGGCAGACTTACCGGAGCCCTGCCCCCCTCTCTGCATCTTTGCTGCATGGGCTCCTCTGCCAGTCTAGCTGTGGCACATTGGAGAGGCAGTGAAGGAGGCTGGATCAACTTCAGAGCATCTGCTATCCCCCGGTCTCCTTCCCTCCCCACCTTCCAAAATGCCCCTTTCGTGACCTGGGAGAACAGCTGGGGAAGTGACTGCAGCCCTCACCCGTCCCGTGCTAGTTGGGAGGGGAAGGGGAAGGGGGAGGGACAGGGGGACAGAGGCCCACCTCCCAGCACTGAAAGCAGATAACCGTCTCTGACCTCAGGAGGGGAATCCAAAAAATTCTGTAGATACTATGTAAGGGTTGTAGCTACGCTCCCTAATTTATTTCCCATTTGTCCACCAGAAATACCACTCAATAATAATAAGAGCTCATAGCAGAACAAAGATTAAAAATTAATTAGAATCTGATAGTTAAAGGCAAATAAATTAAGCACTGTAATAAAAGAAATAAATAGCACCCAACCATGGGAACATGTCCAAAGATACAGTTCTTAACCAGTTTCAAGGCTGAAACCCCATATATTTTTACACTTGCATGGAAAACACTTATTTTCATACGTATGTGTCAAGCACTGCAGACTGGTACTCCTCTCCGAGAAATGCAAAATTCAGTGAACCTCTAAATTCCAATTCACAGATGGCCTGGGGACATGCCAACTGGGCCATTTCAGTGCAGAATTCTCAAGGAATGAATTTCTAGATCAACCCAATTAGCCTAAATAGCTGAACCTTGACCTCTGACTGGATATTAATTAGTCTCTTGCTTTCCATACATTTGTGCCTTTCAGAGGAAAGGTTTCCTCTTCGCTTGGTGGAATTTGTAATAATGGTTGTGCGTGCTCATTACAAACAGTCTATGGGATTTCTTGATTTCTCCATTGATTCAGATCAATTATGTTAATTGCACAAACACATTTATCCTGCCCAGCTGATCTTGCTGTAGCTGGCCAAATTCCACACCAGCTCATACAGTGCAGCTTGAACTCTGATTTCAGCTGTAAAGGAAGCCAGCCAAGGCCAAGGTATGTGTGACGTTGCCTTCTCCAGTAAGAGAGGTTGAGAACAGCTACATGCGATGGCGACATAGGTAAGGCGCAAGTAAGCATAAGTAACACAATCTAACATGTGTTAGATTGAAGCCTGGCCACATGATGAGTTGCATCTTCGCCCATTTTCTCCTGATAATGCAGTGAAAGCTCACACCTGGAGAACTGACTGAAAGCTCAGGGAACCTGGGGCAACATGAGGCAGAATCAGGAGACTCTGCTCTCTTGACCAGTCAAAGGCAGAAGGATGAGCGCTTGGTGTGAGTGTCTATATAACTGCTTCCAGGGTGCTCTGCTGCCTTCTGTTCACAGCTGCTGCTGTTCCACATTGCTGTATTATCAAAAGGACCTCGTGGGGTCAAGGGCAAAGGCCTTGGTCCAAGCCTGCTTCTGGCTGAGTTCTGAGAGAGGCAGGCAAGGATCCGACAGGCCAGAATGCAAGAGGACAAGGCTGAGTCAAGGATCGGCCACCCTAGTTGCCTCGCTGGAAGAAATGAAGCAAGAACTGATTAGGCTGTGTTTTCTGTGTATGCCTGGCTCAAGCCAAGGACTCCTTGGTGGAGCAAAGCGTCCCTTCTCTTCATGAAGAGCTGGGCTTGACCGTGATTACCCATATGAACGGCTCCCCATGAAATGAAGAGACAGCTGCATTGCTCGCTCTTTGCGGGCTGAACTGATCCTGAGCACTGATGGAAACGCAGTGCAAGAGAGCAGGCAGTGTTCTGGAGCCAGGGGCAGTAATATTTTAATGCAATAATATTTTACAGTAAACCTGCATGCTAATATTTTTTGATATAGCATCGGTTCCTGCTCACTGATCACACTTAATCTTTCCCTGAGAAGATGCCTGAGGCGGCTTCTTCAACGCTGCTGTATAACATGTTCATTTCTTGGGTTTTGTTGCATTCATCTTGGTTTTATTACAGCATCACCTCTTCCGTGCCAGGCCTAGATTGAATTCTGTTTTAAACCATCTATTTTTACTTTCTCTCCTTCAACTCTTTTCCAGGAGTGCATTCATACTCCTGGTTGCGTTACTCCAAAGCAAAGAAGGCAAGTCCAAACACACTGCAGCTTCCAGTGCTTAATTTGTTGTCTTCTGGGTCTCTCTGTAGACTTTGGGAATCAGCTGTGTGCGGCTTCATAATGTCGGTGTTGTAACCAGAATGCCATTGTGTGTTGATTTGCACACAAATGACAAACTGTTTATAAGTGTGAAGGTTCTCCTGAACTCTCCTCTTCTTCTCTGGTCCACTGACCAGAGGCCTTAGCAGGTGACTTTTGGGGCCCTCCCAACTGGGCTTATACTAAGCGGAGCCCGGTCCCTTCTGCTTCCAAGCATTTTTTTCCACCGCCGAGCTGTGGCCCCCGCCCCACAGCTTGAGTTTTCAGGGTTGTTGCCTGGCATGGCCCTAGGTGGCTTTCCTGTGTCTCCCGTGGCCCACAGTTTGTACTCTGGCTTATTTTCTTCCTTAACATCCTAAAAGTAAAGCAACCAATGGTGATCACTGGGACAAAATCTGGGGGCCTTAATCCCAGCCCTCAGATGACCACCCAGGAAGGGCCAGGTGATGGTGATTGTAGCTACCTGGCCTGGTGCCCACACTAGAACCAGCAGGGGTATCCAGAAGCTTGAAATAAAAGACGCACGTCCTCAGAGTCATTAAAATCAGAGTTAGCAAATGTTTTGAATTTTTTTTTTTTTTGTTTCTTTGTTTTTGCTCTAGCATATCAGGATCGGGGGTGAAGGGGGAAGGACGTGACTGTCTGGACAAAATGTCTGTCCACCCTTGCACAACCATGACAGCCAGGGTCTAAAATTACCTACCTGCACCACTGTCAAATGATGGGGACCGTTGCACCCATCTCTATCCCCAAGGGCTCGCTCTTCTGCTGCCTGAAGAATGCTTGGAGCTGTAGGACTTTTTCCTGCCTGAGCAGGCACAGAATTGCATCCAAGGATGTCTCAGAAAAAGGAGAGGGCCAGGTGTGAGCAGAGTGTTAGCAACGTGAATGATGTCAGCTTAAATTTCTCCATTATTAAGTGAAAGTTAATAATAGTGATTGTCCTAGATGCATAGTAGCAAAACTCTAAATGACACCCTGTTAAAAAACCGTCTTGTTGTGGATTCTATCTCTCTCTCTATTCCTCAAATTGCATCGACGGCCTCTTACCATTTGTACCCTTTTTATTTGCATGTTTCATCTAAGTGAGAACAATTGGGAAGAAGTGAGGCAGAAAGCAGATTATCTTTTCCACACAATAGAGAAGGTTTTTAGTAATTTCCAGCCTCTCTGGTGGGCTATTATCCAGGAAAGAAAAATTACTG